ACTGTTAAAGCTGCCCAAAAATTTAGGATGGACAGTAGCCAAAAGCAAAAGAACTGAAAGACGGTTTGCTGCAGTAATGTCGACACCCAGTTCCCACAGAAGGTATGGGTAGGATCCCTTTTTTTGCGTAGCGTTTTTTTAAAAATATCTCTTTATTGCTCTTCGGTGATTTAAGTTCACAAGAAATAATGTAGTAATACCTAATTGTTCGAAAATATTAATGAAAGTTACAGTAATAATGTAGATTTCATATGAAATTGCAAATGTATTTATTCGATCGCATTGTTTACTGAGCCTAAACTCCATACTAAAATTTTTATTCAATTTTATTACTTTTCTTGTTTTTTATTCAAAAACACTGACACATTCCGCTTGTGCACGTTCCAATTTGGCGCTTGTTTTTTCTTCAAAAACACTGACACATTCCGCTTGTGCACGTTCCAATTTGGCGCTTCTGAAATAGGATCACAAGAAAATAATGTAAGGAAAAAAAACGTTCAAAAATTTTTTTACAGAAAATCTAACTTATTCTTCTCCGTAGACATCGGAAAATACCCAGCTTTGGCTGATATGAGGGATACAAGGAGAGTTACGTTAAAAATTCGAAGCAAGCTACTGATGTGAACCACCATGATCATTAGATGTCATTTTTAGGTGCTTTCAGAGTTCAACGACGAAGATCGGTATGACGTCATTTTTAGGTGCTTTCAGAGTTCAACGACGTGTCTGTTTCGACAGATTGCGTTCATGGCTGCGTGAGTGGGTGAGGGATATCGATCGGTGTCCAGCTTTGACAACACGTGGCCAACAACACCGTCGGGTGGTCATTTGGTCCATTGAAACAATACACGTCGTTGAAACTGAAAGCACTTTTCTGTCGATTTGTCGAGCTTCAGAGATGGGGGATGAGGTGTATAAGTAATGATCAAACTCGTAGAAGAATATGTTAGAGTCCAATTCCATTCGGAATCGTGATGGCTTTTCACTGTGATGGCCAACCGATATACACGTCACTACATCTATTCTCCCAGATAAGCCTTGTACCAAGCAGCTGACCCCCGGGCTTGTACCAATCCAGGATTCGCTCTTCAAACCATGCGTGTGACAGTGTTACACTTGGTACCACACGACATCCGCCTCCGCGTAGTGTCATGTAGGTAAAACCGAAGGGTGTTACTTGTCAGTAAGAAATTCCTAATTCATCTACTGAAATCGCCGATTATGTTATTTTCCACGTCAAAATCCAAAATCTCACCTTATAGCAAAATTTCTTGCATGAATTAGCACCCCAATAACAGTGATCAATGTCGTCTTCAAAGGCATTGACCGCAGCCATCAAACAGCTCAAAAATATACAGAGAAGTAGAAAGTATGGTCCCACTTTCTTGGACATCACTTAAAAAACAGCACATATGTTATGTTCTCATTCTCATTTTGACTGATATAGTCGGAGGTAGTGAAGCAACACACAGTACATAACTAAATTTTATAAATCCTCCATTGGGAAGTAGGGGCAATAGTTTTATCCTTAGAGGGCTCATATTCTATTGGCCAAATAGTTGCTCGTTTTCACAAAGGGAATGAGGAGTCTTCCAGATGCGTTTTCGATAGTGAGCGAACAATTTTTTCTAATTTCTGGTCAGAAAAAAGTAGGTAACAGTGAAAGAGCTACAACTGCGTTCAGTTCGTAACCTACCACAATTAATTGTAAGTGAATAATGACTTGTGAATGAAGTTTGTTGCCCGAAATCGAGAAGAAAGCAAAGCGGCGATAAGCTCTGAAGTCATGTAGCTCTCCCGATTCCTTTCTTTTATCTATAGAAATATATGCAGGAATTTTAGTTATCAGCAAGCGGCAAGCAATGTCATTATAGCACAAACTTAATTGTATTCTCTACCTGTTCCGTAGAAAATTCTCCCTATACTGCGTTCATTTGCCATGACTCATCGTGGAGGTGACGCTTCTCGCTCTTTGGCTGCTTTCATAGTCCGCCGGCCGGCGTGCCGGCGTGCGGCGGAGGCAGTGCTGGAGGGGAGGAGGGAGGCAGACACATAGGCCAGTCCACGCCCCTTCGAGGGGT